TTTTGAAATATTATTTCATTAACTGGTAATATTTATTTTTAATCGAAATTCTATTTTTCGGTTCAGTCTACATACCATGAAATTAATTTATAGTATTATTTCGGCCTATAAATAAAAAATTATTATTAATTAATCAGCCTTAGTATTTAATACTTTAATGAATTTGTAAGTTTACTTTTGAAATAAAACGTCCACGGAATACGAATTATTTCCTTATTTAATTAATTTTATTTAATTACTCAACTTAATTTTATATTAATTTCAACAAATGTAAATTGTATCACATGCACGGAAGGTTATGAAACACTTGAGAATCGAAATATCATGTCAACTTAGCTCGTGTATATTTTGTTTTGTTTATTTATATAAAACAAAGGAAAATCTGTGTACACTAGTATTAGCTCTTAGGCACGTCCGTTTACAAATATTATTCAAATAAAATTGTTTTCGAACCTTGATTTTCTATATTTCTACTGCTCGAGGTAAAATATTTTGTCTGAAATGTATGGGGAAAATAGCATAAAAAATATGTATAATTAATATTTACAAGGAATGTTTGAAATACATTTCGAAAACATGTTTAATAAAGTACGTAATGTAATGTATTAAATACAATCTCTTTTTTAATACTATTTATAAATTAATCAAAATTATTTAACAAGATTTCCAAGATACAAAAACATGATGTATATGTCGAAATTCAAATAAATTTAATTTTTCAATATTAAGTATGTCTGAATTAATGATACTGGTATTAATATCTGTTACAAATACTTTTATCATTTAGTAAAAATAATATTTAACTTGACCTTTAAAAGAAACTCATTTGCTGCTATAATGTTGTATTGATATTAATTTTTTTCGTACGTCTATAAATAAGTATAAACATTTGTGGTAGAGGAAATGGATTATTTTACGTTGCTTTAAGTCAGACTTGTGATATAATAATAATTTCTAGCACTATTTTATATTTAAGCTAACATGTGAATAAACAATAAAATTAAATAAGGAATGTTAAGATTATCCAAAAGGATAAAATTTAAAAGTTCTAATTACATATAAAGTACATAATTATAAAAATACCTTTCTTAATCGATATATATATATATATATATATATATACATTTATTTAATTTCACTTTTAATTCGTATGCATATATAGTGCTTTTAAGTTATAATACTTTATGACACACACGCACGCACACGCACATATTCATTATGAATTTTAATATTTTATTTATTAGTTTTAATAGCAACGTAATTTATACATGAATAAATTATAGGTAAACTGATAAAAAAATGCATTTTTATAGCGCTGAAAAGGAAGATAATTCTGCAGAAGCATATGATAAAGTTCCTTTTCATTGAAGAAATAATTCGAAAATTTATATAAATATTATTAATGTTTGATGTATTCGTAACTTTATTGGTTTAAATTGATATGAAAAACTATCGAGTTTATGCAAACATTATTTTTTTACGATACCATTCTAGAGCAGCTATAAAAATAAATTAAAGTCAATTAATTTCGGTTTTTAATACAAAATCATGTTTCTTAATAAAGCTTAAGATATTTTTAAAATGAATTCAAGCATTTAATAAAGCCATAAATAAAATGGATTATTTGATTTTGAAACGATGTTTAAATTAAAATTTTAAAGGATATCATTAAATAACTATCTGCTGTGATTATATATTGATCTCGGTATTTGATATTTGTACGAAATGGGAGATTAATCTTAAATGATAAACATAATGTATTTCTAATTTTCAACAAAAAAAAAAAAAAAAAAATAAAAAAAAAAAAATAAAAGGAAAAAGAAAAAAACGATGAATCTAATTTTGAGACTTTTTATAGGCGAGTCCTAAAATAATTTATACATGATTACGCACATAACATTTAATTTATATATCGATGAAGAAAATTCCCTTTTATAAGTAATGTGACACGCGCATATTTTTACTATCACGATACCAAAGACTTTCATTTTTTATAATTTTCCATCTCAGCATTTCGAATATGTAATTGAATTTATAGTTTTCTAATATATAGTTTTTTTTTAATTAAATAATTTACCACCATTCGTTAAATCTTTACTTTTGTACATGACACCCTTCCACGAATTGAGGTAAACAGTAGAAATTTTACGGAGCCGATAAATCGAAAACTGTCAAATCTAATCAACGAAGAACTTTCCTTCAATATTTAAGCGTTCCTGGGACCGTTCCACTTTTATAGCGTTAATGCCTCATTGCGTATCGTTATGCAAATTTGCTAATTCAAAAGAAGACTCGAAGCTACCAGCCACTATTAAAAAAAAAAAAAAAATAAAAAAAATAAAAAAAAAAACATAATGGGAATGTAGCTTTTATTTTAATTTTTTTGCTCTTAGATGTGATCTTAGTATTATTTCACCTCTTACGTATACTATTTATCTACTTATAGCAATAATAATTGCTAATAATAGTTCTTGATTTTCTATGTGTGTCTTGAGTTTTTTTATTTACATTTTACTCGACGATAATTTACCTGCTTTCCATAAAGAAAATAATTCAATATCTAATGGAAATTTATAGGTATTTGCCAAATTGTCGACCGTGTATTTTAAACGTTTCTACCGATTCTTTAAATTATTGAGAAATTATTGAGAATACAAAAAAATCAAATCTTAATTATGTCTACCTTATAATTTATGTAATAATATTTTCTATTAACAGTAGTATTAACGTTTATTCGATTTTCGTATCATTGAGACAAGATTTATCAGTGTAGCTTCTCGATCTTTCAACAATAAAACTAAATTTATTCGAACTATTTCAATCGGGTAAATATATTTTTACCTTAAATGGATTTAAGATCCATTAAGATTAGTACATTAAATAGTTCTTCAATACATTTTCACACTTTGAAATAGCTTATCCTTTTCAATAGCTCATAATTTCTTATGAATCCAAGAACTTCTTGAGTCATACAATCGTTATAAATGACTTCATATTTTAGCGAACTTTTCAGTGTAAATGTATTTTTAAATTGGATTATATGATATATCATCAAGACTAAGAAGATATGATTATATTTTTCAAATGTGCGACCATAAATTAATAATCAGAACATTACACAAGAAAAACTAACTAACTTAAATAGTTAATTTTACGTAATTTTTCTTAATTTATATGTACAGTCTTTTTACTACAATTAATAAATATAAATACAAAACTGTTGCAATTGTTGTGAAATCCCACTAAACTAACCTATAAAAATAGACATTAAAAAAATTAAATTAATTTTTAATATCCAGTTTCTTAATGAAAATCATCGTGATTTAGGCACATCATTAAGAGAAATAAATCGAATGAGAAGAATAATTAAGCCAAACAACTTCGTTTATGATGCGCATCTTATTATTTTCTTTTAATATTTTCATTTATTTTTTTTGCATCCTCTATTTTCAATTATGGATAAAAATCGTAATACGTAGATATTATATTAGTACATAATCACTTTGGTTTGACGTGTTTTATTTATATTTTTTTTTATATATTAGCGTATGAACCTGAAGTAAGAACGTTAAGTAATTATACGATTCGTTGAATTAATTGATAAAATATTTAGATATTAAAATATGTTTATTATCGTCGCAAGCGACAATAGTATCGATAATTCTTGTGTCCTAAATTAAACTAACCATTAAAACAAAGTAAAATATTTAAACATTTTCATTTTCACGAAAGAATGTATTATATTTAACTGGAGGATAGCAGGTATCAATCACTGTTCAGCAGATAGTGAGAGGTTGAAGGTACCCCAGATACCGGACGGTTTGTTATAATGATCATCCTTCCTTCTTTATTTATGCGTGGTGCGCGCGCTTGTTGTGTACGTGTGCGTGTGCGGTGCTCGAAGATGCCGACATTCGTTAGGTTCGTTACGAGGCGATGGGTTCATTTTGATTCGCGCATAATATTGGCTCGATCGCCGTTCATGATAGAGGCTGCCCATAAGAGACTTTACGGTTAAATCATGTCTGTTAAAATTCCACATCGAGGTTTTGGAAGAGTTTCGAGGTAACTGCGAATCGGAGGAATGTTGAGGTCACTAATTAAGAAAATAGGTTTTAGAACGCATACTTGGCTTTGCCGCATGAGCCTAAGTGTTAGATTGTTAAGTCTTTGTGAAGATTTGGCACTCATGAACTTGGTTTTTATTTTTCAGTAAAGGGATTATATATGTCAAAATTAGCCTATAAGTAGATCGGCTTCTGAGATCGGGCAATTTATTATTAAATGGGATTGGTAAAAGCTAGGTATAAAAATTTATAAGGAAATTTATAATTTTCGTTTGATTTGAAGTTATTAAAATTTTAGTCCAATATAGTCCAATTAGATTCATCAAATAGAATTCATTAATTGGTATGGCTACAATCGTGATTAATGGCAGTCAATTTTATTCTGAGAATATTTTCATTCCCATTTAATGACGATAGGGTACCCTTTATTTTGTTTTATTATTGACATTATTATTGCATAAATTGCAATATTTCCATGTATTAAAAGCATAACTCTTATTTAGATCTTTTATTAAATTAATGCACGTTTGCACCTTATGTTTGACTTTAATTATAAATATCAAATGTGAAAGTCTAAATTTATTATTAAAGTAGAAGGTATGTTTAAAAATGATTGTATTATATATTTGATAAATAGCTTTTCATAATTTATCTGAAAAAATAAATCAAGCAAATTTACAAAAGCTGTATCTTGTAACGCAAAAGAATTCACAGAGGTTGAGAATTTCCTAATTTCAAAAAGAAAAGACCTTAGGATAATTTAAATGGTCCAGGAGGAACATAAGACATTAAGAAATACATATTTGTATCTTATTCTTATTTAATTCTGAAACGTTGAAAATAAGCAATTATCATCAAGCTATCAAACGATAATCATATGTCCGTTTGTAATAATGTAATGTGTTGCAATGCTTTTAAATGTTCGTATTACAGGTTGCCTGATTATACAAAAGGTATCTTCCAATCGATTGGTTTCAAGGAATTTCACAAATACCTTATTTTACCCGAAGAGAAAAAAGACACAGTATTGGTATGTTTCAACCTTATATACAGATGTATTATACTTTATAAAATAACTAATGTACGTTTAATATTTCGAATCAACTACAAGGTTATATATCCTAATATTATAATTCTCTTTTTGTTATTTATACAATTAAATTAAATTTTTTTTAATGATATAGTGTGTTTAAGCTTCTATATTGTACATTAAATTTCAAAATATGATTTTTTTTTTGAAAGAATTTTATTGAAACTCTAAATATTTATAATTTTTTTAAGTAAGCTCAAGACTTATATTCAATATATTTTACAGACATATTAATTATTATTAAAAGATATAAAATCATGAAGATTTGTAAGTAATTTCTGTTACATTTGTGTAATTAGTAATTATCACATTATATTTTTTTAAAATTAACTGTTGTATTAACTATTGTATACACACACACACACACACACGCACGCGCACACACACACACAAAATACATGTATTGATACTATATTTTAATTTTTAGATATTATAAATTTAGATTTACAAATATCTAAGTTCCACACACACACACACACACACACACACACAAAATACATGTATTGATACTATATTTTAATTTTTAGATATTATAAATTTAGATTTACAAATATCTAAGTTCCACACACACACACACACACACACACACACACACACACACACGCACACGCACACGCACACACACGCACGCGCACACACACTCACACACACACGCACGCACACACACGCACACGCGCGCACACACACACACACACACACAGGTTTATGAGCTTAGTCGACGGTGAATCTTACAATGTTAATAATTGAGTCAATAAAGGTTTTTCATTTATATGAAATAAAATTTGTTTTATATACGAAAATTATTGAAATCCAGTTTCTATTCAATTAGAAATTATCAGATAAGTTGAATAATATGGGTATATTATTACTTAAATGAGGCAAATGTAAGCTGTAGATTTCCCATAATTAAAACTAAAATGTAATTTACATATGTAAAATACATTTTAAGCGTCGATTCCTAATCTACTAAACTACAAACTAAATTATAAAAATCCATTATGTGCAAAAATATAAAAATATTTATGTTTGTTAAGGTTAATTGCAATTATGATGTTTAAACTATTGTGGAATTTTGATTATTTTCTATTCATTAATATCCATACTTTGTTTTTAATCTTTAATTATTTTTTAAATATTCTTTAAAAAATCATAATGCCAATTTTAATAGATGGTTTTAATTTTTTCTTAATTTTTTTTTTCAATGCATATTAATATGCTTCAATTATTTTGAAAAATTAAAAAATAATTGCGTTGTTGCATTTAATTAACGTATTTCTTGACTTTCATGTGAACATAAATTTATAATTCCTTCTAACTTAATAATATTGTCGTCTTTGTCAATAACGCTGATAATAATTGCTTTATCAAAAATCATACTGTTTATGTTTTATCTTGGCTATCGGAACATTTTTTCTTTTTCAGAAGATTTTTTATGATTAATGCATATATAATATGTTTATATAATATTATATATGATTCGTGATAAATTATGATTAATGCATATATAATAATATTAAGATTACATAATATTTAAAATAATCATTTATAGTTAGTTAATTTATCATAATTATGAGCACATATATTTTTGTTTTTTTATTATTTTATCGGATATTCGCTCGTAAGTCTGGACAATTATATATATGAAATAGTCAATGAATATATCAAGCAGACATTTGTATTTTATTAATTTTTCAAATTGGAGTACTTTAAAATTCAAAAGTCCTAAGGACAATATAATCAGTGCGTTTTTATAATTAGAATAAATTTTTGGATTAGCTTTATCAACAAACTTTCATGTTCATTCGTAAGACTCATAGTGTAAGAGATAAATTGCGTTTTATGTAAAAAAAAAAGAACGAAGAAAAAAAATTGATGCTATATCAAAAGTGTAAAAAATAAAAAATAAGAGGTGGCTTTGAATTACATAGGTGCAACCAAGACACATCGTAAAAATAATCTGCCTTTCTTATTTTATTCTACGAAGGCATGTGAAGAATAGGAGGCAGTACAAGATTATGTGCTCTTTTTGGGTAGGAATAAAGTCGAAGAATGCCATAAAGTTTTACGGAAACATTCATTTTATAGGAAAATTTTACTGTAATGCTCGGGATAAAGGGAGGAATGTGCATCATCGACATCAATCCTCGGTTTTTTCCCAAATCGTACAGTCCGCTGATGAATTGACATAAGTTGTCACTGGGACATTGCGAACGCAAGCACGAGATCGCAATTAAGGAATCTTCATTGTTCCCATAATAAACAGTGTTACGCTTTACGATGTAGCGCGTGAATTGTAAATCTCTGGCCTACCAAAATGTAGACGATGGTAAAGATACGTGGGCGGGGGCGTGTTATATAGACAGAAAAGTTTAATAGCTCCGGAATGCGCAAGATCGTAAACATGCATGTGCAAATGAAGCCCATGGAAAATTGCAAGTCTCTCCCTCTGCCCCCAAGTCGCTGCTCAGCGCGAGAGGGTTCGAGACGAGACGATAAAAAGGGCAACCGTAAATTTTCGAAAGCGACAGTACTATCGTGAAGTGCACCGGCTTCCCGACGTTATTCGCTAACGTATTCGCGCGCACTCGACGAACTGACTTTCTTACATCTATCGAGCACGTGGAGAAAAGTAGGCTATGCAGGCCTGGGAGAGTAATCGCTCGAGGCACAATATTCCCGACTCGTTCTATCGGGGCCCTATTATATGTATGATAAAGGCGTTCGGTCCGGCCTCGATAATTACATTCGGCATTAACGTCTGCAAAAATTGAAAATAAAATACTAAAGAGGCTTTAAGCGTACATTGTTATTATTGGTAATAACGCTGTCATTGCTTTTGCTACCGTTTTTTCTCTCTCACTTTTTTTCTTTCTTTTTTTCTTCAATCCCGTGGATAACGGTTCGCATTACTTTTGATCATTTTCTTATAACTTAAGTACTCGAATGAAGTAAACGTGTAGGTAAGATTAGGTAGAATTGGCATGATTAAAAATACTCGATTAGGGATTTGATTGTCGAGCAATTGTTTGAAATATATATTGTGTCCCCACCAATTTCTATACCTTTTCCGATTTACCTTTACCGATAGAATGAGCATTTTGCGAGTTATATTTCTCATCGTTGGAAAGCTAATTAAAATCAATATGATCAATATGATAAAAGGTATCAGGGCCGATGAATCCTTTACTTGGATAATGGCGATATTTATATCCGGCTGTTTAATCTATCGCATAACTTCGCATTCGTTAGTTTAAAAGTCCTAAATATGACATATCGCCAAATACCTTTAGAATAGTTAAATTCGAATTGGAAAACGTTGATAAAAAAAAAGAAGAAAAAAAAAAGAAAAAGAAAACAGTGTTAATTTGGAAAATTTACGTTCGGTTATAAATTTGCACGATTGGCATATACTCAATTGCAATTGAGTTCTGTAATGCAGTGCTAATACTTAATTAATCATCATTATAATTAAAAACGTCGATTTCTAAATATCGTTAAAGTCCCGAACAATAATGTCCCACGCGAATTTCTCCCACGTGACTAAAAGTCTGGAGTGCGTGACTATCACCCAGACTAAATATATTTCCAAATAATTATAGTATTATGTATTTCAACAGGGCCAAAAACTATTAAATGGAGCCATTGAGACTTTGAAGCAGGTTACGAAGAGATACGCCAGAAGACAGAACAAGTGGGTGAAGAACAGATTATTGCGAAGACTGGACCGACAGGTACTCGCTTTCATTCGTTTCGTTTTATCATTCGCATGGATACATGTGAATTCAGGCGTATACGCAATGTGGCCTGCGACTGCCTTTGTGCAACTCAAAACAAACGCCACATTAAGTCTTGAAACTCTAAATTTCAAATTCACTTTGCTTGTGAGCTGGTAGACGAGTTTTACATTTGTATTATTAGGAGAGAGTCATCCGAGTTTAATATTATATTCCCTTCAACTTATTTGGTCGGGCGCTGATACTCAGTACATATTATTATGATAAAAAATTCAGCTGGCAATTATTTAATAGTTAATTCAACGATATTTGACGAACAATGGTTTATGTTATTAATACTACGCGGATATTGCTGTATAGAGAGCCTCGGACATTATTTTTTCTTGTCAAAATAGTTTCGTACAATTATGAATTATCGTCATTTCTTATCATACCTATCGCTAAACTATTCCTTTTTATTTATTTTACATTCGAGCGATTATTTCGTTTCACTTATTACGTGACAATGCTTGTTTCCTTTTGATTTTTTTTTTAACGTCAGAATAATCATTGAATCAACTACTGTGCCTTTCGTTTGCTTTAACCATGAACTTTAGAATTTATAATAAATGGTCTTTTCTTTTTTTTACTATATTGATTAAAATGTTGCTCATGATGATTCCAAGATAATCACGATTAGATTACATAATCTTAAGAATGTTTGTTAATAATTTCGATTCTTTGACGCGGTACAATAAGGAATCGCTTGTGTCATACTCAGGCTTTATTAAGATTCAATATTATTATTTTCAAGTTTATCAATTTGCAAACTAATTTTTGCGACTGTTTCTGCCTCTTACATAAATCGAATTATAGCGTGTACTGGAACTTACATATAATTGTAAAAATTTTTTAGTACAGTCGCGTAACGTCTTCGCCAATATACTATTTTCTAAGGCACTCAAATAGAAATTCACGTGAAAATTCCTCTTTAATTAACTAGTCGCTCGATTTGCAGGATAAGCATATAATTTGAAGAGCTCGAACCTTCCTAGTTCCATTAATCAACAAAGCAAAAATTCGATGGATTCAAATTCATTTGCGCTAAACTAAATAATAAGCAACGATTGCTCTCAACCCCGTTGGGCCGGTTGAACACAGTGCCTATATTAGCTTTATTTGTTGACTCTTGAGTACCGGCGCTGTGCTTTCAGGTGCCGCCAGTTTACTCATTGGACAGCACCAATGTGGAGCAATGGGAAAGCGAGGTTTATGGGAAAGCGGTGGAAATCGTATTGGCAGTTATGGTGGGCGAAAAGCCGCATAACCCGCCGATGAGTATCGATATTAACAATGCGAAATACACCGACAGCAGTAACGTTAAGAGGCATTTCTGCGAGGTAATTGATGATGACGCGGTGGCGCCGCTAAAAGCTTACGTAATCTTTTCTTCCTGTTGTATGTTTTTTATTTAGACGGCACTGTTTAATATTTCTTTGTGTATCTGTGCTTTATAGGTTTGCCAGAAAACTCTTTTTACCGATGAACAGTGGATTGCGCATTTACATGGGGGGAGACATACGAGGACGGTGAAGAAGCTTAAGAAATTGGAAAAACAGGATGGATGTGGCGAGGACGACCCTGCCAAACGGTCAACAAAGACGGGCAATAAACACGAACATACCGAGAACGTTCTCGCGATGCAGATATATAGATATATTTATATATATATATATATATATATATATATATATATATATATATACAGTTGTAAATTTAGCCAAACACTACTATGAAAATAATGTAATTGTAATGGATTTTAGTATTTTTTACCAGCTGTAAATGACGACATTTTTGCTTACTTTTTTATTAGATTTTTATACATTATGTTTTTCGAGCTCAGATGACGATTAATTATTATTTAATTCTGACTTTTCCCTTTGAATGTAATTTTAAAATGTAATTTTTTCTTCGAGCAATACCATGTACCTTTTATCTACAGCGAATATAAACATACACTTTGTAATATTCACATTTTTCGCCGCTATAAGTTCGTTTCTATATTACCTACCTTATCGACCGTGGTAATATTGTGGCGTACTTTACATCATTCGTTGGAAATGTCGGGATTAAGCAAAACTCGCACACGCCAGCAGCGATAAACGGTATGATATTACCGATCGTTATATTTTTCAAACCTTTCATGATCTTTCGAATCAATTCTTATTTTCAATTTTATTTTACTTTAATTTCTTTGCACCACCCCTTTCACACCTTCTCCCTCATTCATTTGTCTCTACTTATATATCTTTTTATTCATTTCCAATTGTCAAAATAGTTTTCTTCAATATTACATGCGTTTAAAATTATGCAAGCAAAAAAGAGAAAATAACATAAGTAGTAGTGTAAATAATATAAAAAAATTGAAAGTATTAAATAAAAAAAATAAAGAATTAAATAAATAAAAAATTGCTCTTTAGAGCAGCATAACCTCAATATGAAAGGCAGAATTACGAGAAATGCATGATGATGAATTGTTAATTAGATAAGTGTAACTAATAATTGATACGTTATACATATTTCAGATAACGAAGTTTTTTTTTTTTCATTGTCTATATGCATTGCTTCACATTGGCGTTAATTTGATTTATTTTCCAATTGGCTCTAATTTTTGATTCTTCTTTTTTTTCAGTTTATTATTGCTAAATTTATAGTAAACACGGAATAATTATAATTATGAATGTCCATTGCAAATATGCATAAGAATTATGTTTTAAAAAATATTTCAAGTCATTAATATCATATAAATTATACTTATAAATAATAATTACCATAAAATGTAATAATATATTTCAGAAATGTCGGTGGCGCTTATTTCTGAAAATTCATTTAAAAATTTGAAAACGTTTAAATTGATGGAAAAGTAACACATCGTAGGAATATTTAGTAATTGCTAAGATAGCAATTTTATCAGATTATCCAAGTTTAAATTGAGAGTACTCGAGAATCATTATAAAAGATATGAAACAGCGCATTAGCACTGGCTCTGTCACGATTAAAAAAAAACACACACACACACACACGCGCGCGCGCACAAATGAAGATAAAAGGATAGTCAAGAGGCGCCTGTATGACATAAATAGAAATGAAAAGCATCTGATATATTTTGTGTCTAGGTCATTGTTGGTGCTCATGATTAATTATATGCTGCTATTTCCAAGAAATATTGTTTTCTTCTTATTTCTTGGAACCGCTGTTCTTATTCCACTTTGTAATGTCGAGATGCATGTAGAAGGAATGAAAATGTGGCGCCAAAGGAAAAAAAGTAAAAAACAAGCATGTAAGGCTATTTATGAGAATGAGCGATCAAATCATTTCACTAATCGCCGTGATGACACAATTTATATTGTCTTGTACAGATGATTTGGTTTACATTGAGATGTTTCAGATATTTTACATAATGAAGAGTGATGAGATCCGGGGCTGAATAATGTCGCGAATAAATTGATGAAATCAGATGTTCATCAGCTACTTTACTTTTTAACATTTTACTAAAGCTCTATTTTTTTTTTAATGTAATGTATGAATTGTTAGGTTTATCAAAAATGTAAAATGCTTTAATTATAATGAAATAGATTCTTCTGGGATACTGTGATTATTACATTTACGTTATTATTAAAAAAATGAATGTAATGCTTTAAATAAACAAATATAGAAAAAATAATATCTTTTTAGCACAAAGGAATGTATTCAGTTTACGTAAGACTGTAAATTTCATTGACCACGGAGTTACTTAATTTGTAGTTTAAAAATTTATATTTATAATAATAAAATATTGACGAATGAATGTTCAAATTAATGACATAATCAATTCATTAATAATATTCATTGCGTAAACAGGCTTTTAAATATGCAACTTATTTTAAGATTCTTTTAACCACTATTCATAAATTATTCAATTCATAGGTGTAAGTGTCTGGCGAAATTCTGAAAAAGTTAGAAGTATTTGCTAAATAACATAGTATCGCAACCTACACGCAAAAATTTAGGCAAATATTTTATCTACGATTTTTATTAGGTAATTATAATCTTTTTAAAATACTAGTTTAAAATAAGATAAAAGTCTTGATTCACAAATTAAGAGTTTCTAAGTTGTTTCATTTATAAATTTTTCTTTTTCCTTCTCAAATTATTCTCTTCTATTTTATTTTTCAGTTTGATTTCATTTTTGTATTGTAGATAAGTCATTTTACTAATAAATTATAAAATTTATTACGTGATTCTTATATTATCAAGTAGCACAAAGTTTAAATTGAAATCATATTATTAAATTATATCAAGTAGTCGTATATACACCGAATCAAGTAATCTGCAAATATAATAATAAAATCAGTTAATAATTATTAATTCTGTTCTGTATAATGATTGCGAATTTGCAAAGTTACAAAGGCAATCGTTAATGCTTATAATGTCCATTGCTTCTATACAAATACGTTAAATTCTATACAAAATACGTAGTATGCGTATGTAGTTTGTGTATCTCAACTAAATTGGAATGCGACAAATTTCTAAATTAGATCTGACGGTGTTAGAAAGTTCATAAAATCCAGCATTTACGAGGCTGCAGAGATGCGACAGATGAAGTTTTTGGCGCCTTGCTTAACCTAAGCAAAGTCAGTAAGGAGAAAGGAGAGCGAAAGAGAGAGAGAGCGAAAGAGAGAGAGAGAGAGAGAGAGAGAGAGAGAGAGAAAGAGAGAGTCGGCGAATGAGAAGAAAAACTTTTGTACGAGCACTGGTTGGCGAACAACTTGCGTCGTTCTATAGCTACGATGAAAGTTCTGAACACGTGCTGGACACTTCATACTTTTGATTATGTCACGGAGGTCCTTTTTTTTGCGCTTTGTTTATTTTCTTGTGCTGCGTTCTAAGTATAGCGATTTTCCGCTTCGTGCATGACTATTTTTAAAAGAAGGTATTTCACTGAATATTTACCCCTCTGAATTATTTATTAATTTTTTAAATATATTTCGAAGTTTCAGAATCATTGAAAGTCATGATTATGATGCATACAAAATTATGACAAGAGAAACAAAAATTTCCATTTCTTATAATATATGCGATTACTATTCGTCTTTAACCTCAATGAAAATGCCATTTTTCTTTTTTAACCTGGACAAATATTATGAAATCGTACAAATATTAATTTATCTTGATAAAATATTTTTTTTTTTAAGTTATTTTGTGAATACAATTATCGCGTGAGATAAATTTATCATCAATTTAAATTAAATCAACATAATGATAATTCTGTTAAATAATTTGTTTAATTATTTCTAATTAAATACTGATTTTTTTCCCCGTGAAAAAGCATATTAAGAATTTATTTCATCTGTTATATAATATTATAACGAGTAAGGTTATATTATTAATGAACAAAATAATTTTTATAGTTTGCTAATAAACAGTGAGTTATTAAAGAGTAATGATTATTAACGAAATACGAAAACAGATGCCTTCATTTACAAAAATATTTACTCGAAATGATACTCATTAACCTAATAGTAAAGAATTAGTTGTTTTAAAAAGATAATTAAATTTTAATTCAATATATTGATAACAAGTTATTTTAATTGAACAAATATTTATCACCTGACAATTAATTATAATTATGTATGAGAAATTGAAATAACAAAAATATATAATTATAATGAAAATTATAAGAGTAAAACATGTGTTTGTAATAATTAATTATGAGCATAATTGCGCTACACATTAAACAATTTAAATAAAGGTAATAATATTAAATTGGATTTAGAGGAAGTTGGACAGAATGAAATTTGTGAATAATATTTTTATTAACATATAAATTCAAAAGAATGGCGTGTTTTAATGCTGAATCGATGGTCATTAAATTTTCAAATATCAATAAAAATGTTTGTATAACAGTTTAAAATAGTAGCATAACATCTATATGAATAAATATTGATATAAATTAATATACAATAATGATTATATAAATACTAAATATTGATAATTAAAATGTTTTAATGAACTGCAATTTATATTTATTGCAAATTAAAAATTACATTTATCGAATGTCTTCTGATCGATTTAATTTAATATAATTTTTTATTTATAGTGTATTAAAAGTGGGATGGGACGAGCGAGAGAGAGAGAAAGAGTGATAATAGATAAAATTATAGATAGAGTTACATTATAATTTTTAAAACATTGTAAAACTTTACATGAAAAAGATAATATTATAATTAATACTTTAATTAAGATATGTTATAGTATCGTTTTAATTAAAACTGAATTACCTGAAATATCGAGAACTTTTTAAATTTTCATTTATTTCATAACTGTAATTCTAATTTTATTTTGCAATCATTAAAATTTTTTTTTAACAGCAAATCCTTATCTTTTGCAAACATTTTTGTTTATTGATGTTAATATTTTCTGCAATAAAATCGCTACTTAATATATCTACAATAACGGAATTCAATGAAATATTTTTTCCACTGAAACGTTTCAGATGCAATCAATATGCAAGAAAAGTAGCTTCCAATAGAAACAATTTCTCGATTATATATTATAATTTTTCATTAGTATTATTTATACATCATCATATTATAACATAATAACTTAACGAAATACGATCTAATATCATTGCTTATTTTATATTTTTTTCTACATATACCCCATTTAATGGACTATTTATTTAAATTTAACACACATACGCACGCACGCACACACTATCATTACATATATACATGTACAGGATATGTTTATTGTTAGAATAAAATTATTTAAACGATATTGAATGCGGATAAGTGTAAACTCGGTAATTACTATGCATACCCTAGATCTTAAAAGGTTACTCACCTCTCATGTCATACAATTCCACTTTCTGCATTAATTAACTCATGCAATATAGGAGATACCATACGAGCGAAAGAAAAAAGCACTAGTTTTATCAACGATAATCAACCGTATATCTGCTGTATAAAGAAAATTTACCTCGTGTGTGTAGTTCTGCTAATGAGAATAACTCATAGAGGAACCTTTGTTGTGAAAGTTTAGTTAAGCATACAGTAATTTATGTATGCCATTTCCTGTTTTACTCGTTAATTGACTAGGAATAATTACCATATGAGATATTCAAGTACTATTTGTTTCGGCTGTGTCGAATAATCGAATACCAGGGAGTTTTGATTTAAATTTTGAATTTCGCAGAAGTCGATTCCAGTTAATTTCATAATTGTACTCCGAACCTCATGGAAACTATATTGGAGCGTCAGACTTAACTAATAGAAAAATTACTCGGCTGAGTTCTCGGATATACTTAAACGTCCACTGTTTGCTTAATGTCCATAATTTAGTTTACCATGATATGGCTGGCGTATAAAAGTTTTGCAAAAAGTTCTCACTTTATTATTTCTTTACGTGATCTTATATGAATTACGTAGCAATTTTTGTCCCATACCATAAAGTATAACATTTTCTTCTTCTATTTTTTTTTTTTTTTTTCGTTGCTTCGTGTTATCTTCATTTACCTTGAAAACAAAAAACACTTTATTCATATTTTACATGAAATAGAAATATTTATAAAAAGCTGTTGATATAACCTCGAGCTATTACTTATTCTACTTGACACTTATGTGTATACCAGACTCGGTTGTTCCGTTTGGTGCGATCGTTATTTATATTATAATCTATAGATTTTCATTATTCTCTTAAAAGTTTGTACTTATTAGAATTACTGAGTTATTATTTAAAACAGCATGAGTATAAGTTAAGAGCACTTAAAAAATATCTATTGTTATAAATGTATGTGTAAAAATCCGAGAGCCTGCGGCATTTACGAGAGTTTCTCTTTATTAATTTAAAAGGTATACGTCTAGTTTGCTTTAGATATTTAGTTAATTTTATATGCCACAAGCCAAATCTTCTTTACTCCTAAAGAATGTTTTAATATTATTATTATAATAGGAACATTAAAGAGTTTTGTATTTTCGTGCAATTTAGCTCTAACAAGTTCATAATTATACAGCAAATAGACAAAAATTTTCTAGGTAAAGTAATACAAACTTTAACTCAAAGTTTAAATCAGAAAAGATCGATCGATCGTTCTTTACGAATTACTTCTGAATAAGATACAGATGGATCCCAATGGTATGTTGGTAATCTTCGTGTCCAATTAATGCTGATAAAATTGTTTGTCTTCCAGTCAACTCATTTTCCCTTCCGTCCTTTATTTATAGATTTTAGCCCTCGACGACTTTATTGACTGTCAACGACTCTTAAAGGCGCATTATTCGAATATTAAATTAAGAGGCGTTCATATTTTCACGAATTTTCCCACTAGTTCTCTCGCTCATTGTTACTCGAAAGAGCTGACATTTTCAATCACAGGCGTTATTCAACCACGTTTCTCCAGTTATTATTAAAGTGCAGCGCTGCTTTGCTTTTCGTATAAATTGATAA